CAGGTGCTCACTCGCTCCTATGACTTTCACTATCAAAGGGAGCTTCAAGGTGCCGCAGGCACTCACTGCACAAGTGACTCCTCCTGGCAAAGGCTGCAGAGATTCCTGCTAGAAACATCCGCAGGCTCATTATTACATGTGAAGGAAGCCTATGAGCTGCCAATTTCTAGTTAAACCTTTGCCCTCACTTGGCTTCTTTACCACCATGTGCCAGATGTTCGGGGAAGTGAGTCCCAGCAAACAAGACTGCTCCTTCTGATTCACTAATGATGGGCAGAAAACCACCCTGGAGTCAGCCTCAGCACCAGGATGCGATGGCTGGTTTGCATAACTGGCATTTATAAATTCTTCCATTTGTTTCAGGACGTATCTACTCCCCACATAATAAACTTTCAGCTTTTTGACCACTATTTTAATAGAGAAGTGCAGTATACGGCCAAACCACCCTCCCCTTTTAATTCCTCTGGTAGTTTGGGTATTGAGGAAGACCCTCAGTCACTGAGAGACCCAGGGTGATGCTAGGTGGTACAGCAGTGAGAAGCAGCAGGGTGAGTCACAATACATACACAGGTAAAGCCTCTTGGCAAAAAGAGAAGTCCAGTAGAGAGTGTAACTGTTCCAAGTGACTGTGTATGAATAATCCACCTCTGGGGATGCACTAGGAACAGCCCTTTCATCAGAGAAGGGATGCCTGGAAGTGCAGCAGGCTCTTACAGCAATGACTGCAAGTCAACACTGCCAGACCAGTCACCACAGACACACGAACAACCCACATCTGTGACCCTTCTGCAGTAATCATGGGCTCATGCAACTGCAGGCTGTGGGACTCCAGCCCACTTCCTTTCCACTTATATATTGACATATTAGTCAGCATGGTGCTAACCATGTCACCTTTACGCCATTCCACACTCCTTTCCCCCCTTTTTTGCAACAAGTGTAATTATCTTTTTCTTTGGTTAGAATAAACTTGTCAAATGACTGAAATCAGATTACCAGGGTTTTAGTTGCTCAGACTCACCCATCTTTCCCCTTCTTAAAGACAGCTCTGTACTCCCCAGTGACACAGTACTGCCCTAACTTGTGGCAAGACTCACAAATTTGAGTGCCAGCTCACCCAGAACTCTATGATGGAGACTACCTTTATTTTGCTACTGATATTGAATATTTAGCCAAACTGGTCCTTTTTCTAGATTAATCTTTTCTCTCAAGCTTTTCTTTGCTTCCAGATATTTCTGGTTTAGTGTGAAATAAAAAACAGATGAGCTTTTACTTTCTTTTTTTTTTGTTCATATTCCAACTACTCCTCTTTCAGGACACAGTGGCTTCCAGGGCACTGAGGCATCATGCAGATCTTCGGAAGGCTGTTGCACCAGACTCTATGTAACACACAAAATCCTCTGCCTCACTGTTCTGCTGCTGCTTCGGCATCACACTGATTCTTTTTCTTTGTAACATCTCCTGAAAATCCTTCTCTCTACAAAGCACTTATCCATTCCTCACTATGCAAGTGCTGCCAAAAGACTAACATAAGACAGAGCAAATCCTTCTCAGCTGCACAGAGAATAAACTTATCTGATCACTGACCCCAGCAATAAATAGCCATTTGCCTTTCATTTACTCTCTCAGATAAAGTCCTTTTGATTTCGCTTACTTGAGAGAGGACTAAGCAAGGATCTTAGTACCTGGCCAAGAATCTCTGATCAAGCAGGTCTAAGCAGCTTGAGGTCTGGTGTCTGAAATCTCATACCCAGCCTGTGACTGTACCATCAACACCTGCAGCTGCCATCAACATTCAGGGGCAAATGAATCATCAGAGGGCAGAGAGTTCAGCCCATTTTATTTGAGGAATGTGTCCACTTCCACAGCAGTCATGTTCTTTAGCAGGATGCTTCCATCTCCCCTGTCTCTGTCCTGAGGTCAGACTCTTGACTGTAACCACTGGTTTGCAGTGGGGATGAGGTTTTGCAAAGGGACAGACCTATGTCAGATAAGGAATAAGCAACAGTGGCATACAGAGCTCCCACGTCAAGCAAGTGCCTCTAGATGAACTCAGGAAAAGAAGAAACTCTTTTCTCTGGAAAATGAGCTAAGAGAGAAACAGAAACTCTCCACAGAGAGCACTGGGCAGGGATTTATCATTTTAAACTTACTATATACTGATAAAATACTAACAATCACTACCAGAACAAACAGACGCCTACATCTTATTCCCAGGGCACTGCTAGTTGTCCATCAGGTCATTTCTTCTAGCTAAGAGCACTTTTTGCATTGGTTTCCACAAAAAAAAAACAGCTGTTCTAGCCACCTGCTTGCAACTAAAGCCAGTGACAGCAAGATCCCAGCCTCAAACAGAGAGAGATCAGCCTAGAGAGAACAAGACAGATGTTTTCCAGTCACCTGGACTGCATCCCAAAGTAGTCAATGAACTGGCTCAGCAGCCTCAAAACCCAGCAATGATTCCCTTTGGGAACTTGTGTAGAACAGGTAAGGTGTCACAGGACTGAAGAATGGACAAAAGCAGTACCTAACCTTAAGAAAGTATAAAAAGGGAAGAAAGTTGATTTATGATTTCAATTCCCAGAATATCAGGATTAATTATTTATAAGCACATGAAAAAAACTCCAATCCCAAACCCACAAAGATTGAGTAGCAACCCAGGTGGATTTGTCAAGAACAAATCATAATTGAAAAAAATAAAGTATTTCTTTATACAGGAAAAAAAAAAGTATCACAGGGGAGAAGCAAGACATGAACTGGAATTCAGTGAGATTTCTGACATATCACTTTCACAAACATGCCAAAAAATGTTATTAATGATACCACATATAATATTACAACTTCAGAAGTGGCCAAAAAAACCCCAAACCAACAGACTAGGAGGAGTTCCCAGTGGCTTCACTGTAGAAATGGAAGGATGTTCTTACTTTGGGATCTGCCTAGGAACCAACTTTGTTTAGTTTTCATTATCAATCAACTTGGAGGATGAACTAAAAAGTATGTTTATTGAACTACAGAGGACATGAATCTGGAAAGAATGGCAGGTATGCTGGAAAGCTCTGCCAAGAGAACTTGGCAAATTGAAGAAGTGTTCTGGAAGAAAGAATTGGTAGACAAGTGCACAGTGCTGCTCTTTGGCAGGAAGAAGGAACAGCACAAGCACAGGGTGCAGAGCTGTAAATGATAATGCTTTTCAGTTCTTCCTGAAACCTGGAGTCTCAAGGAACTGGACACTCACTTTCAGTCCTATGCCATTGTGGAAAAGACAGTCAAAACAGCGGATGTATAAAGAATGAGAACTGCGAGGCTAATGAAGTAGCGGTTTGCTCCTCTCTAATTGCTGTACTCTGGACATTTTGGGCACTGCTTTAAAAAAAGGATGAATCAATTGCAGGCATTTAAAAGAGCAACAGGAATTGAGATCTGGAAAACATCACCTACAAAAACTGAAAATAATGGAGTATTTATTCCAAAGGAATGAAGGATAATGAGGCCAACCACAAAACCATTGAAGTAACATGCAGTGCAAGACACACGAGTTCTTTCTGCTCTCTGGCAAGCTGTGCACTGAAGCACGCTGTTAAGATCACTGCATTTTCTCTCCCCAGCATTCTAGCAAATTTTAACAAACTACTTCCTGCATTTTTCCAAGAGCAAGGGATACCATATCAGAATCCAGTGTCAACTGCATGACTACAAGCATCAGGTGGAAATTCAATTTGTTTTGAAGTAAACCAATCCATCCTTTGAACTTCAAACTAAATGCTAGGAGTCCCTACAACTGCCTTCAGGTTGCAAGACACTGACACTTCCAGGGCTTTCCCTTGCCCAGGAAGAACAACAAGAGTGTGACATAAACCAAAGAAAATTACTTTTGACTCAATTATTCATGTTATGAAGGCCTGTGCTTGTGCTTGCCCAGAGGCTGACAGGTAACTTCATCTGTCTGGTACCAGGAAAGCAATTGCAGGTTGGTGCCAGTGTGAGACAAGAGCAAAGTATGAGCCCTTAAGGCCATCTATGTAACAACTGAATACAATTATATCCCCAGACTTTCATTCTATATATGGTGAGCTGCCAACCTCCTCTCTCTGTCTCTAAACACAGGTTATAACATTCCATCCTCTGAACATTAATCCATTTGTCTGATTATGTGTTGAAAAATCACTAAAGAAGACTTGAAAAGACATATATACGATTTGTAAAACAAGAAGTATACCCAAATAGAGGGCATTTATTCCAGATTTCATGACAACGGATAAAGACAAGCCATCAACTGAATGAGAAGTCACAACCTGATTCCATTTAGGATGGGTGAAGTACAGAGAACAACCCTGACTAGTAACAGGTCCATGGTACTTTAGAAGGGCACTAATGCAACTGACTGGGACAAAATATTTACATGGGGAAAGCAGTGGATTTACCATTTCAGTCTGTTAGTTTTAGACATGATACTGTTCTTCTGGGTGATACTTCAAACACAAATCATGAATCTCAGTGCAACAATAACTGAGCAAAATGGGATGGCCTGTGCCATTCAGGAGGTCACATAAAGTTTGGATCATAGCCTTTTCAATGATTTGTGCTGGCTCCTTTGCCATCACATCCTTATCTCCAAACTCCCATTGTTTCCTCTGCCATTGCTCTTTTCCTTCCTTTGCTCTTAAATCCCAACAGTCCATAAACCACACAAAACCCAGTCCTTTTATATACTCTTTAAAATAAATAAAAATTAAATTCATTGTTCATAGTACACATTAACATAATCTTGAATAGAAAGCCTCATCTGTGGTGCAAGGTCAGGTTACAGAGAGATGTCTTTGTAAAACATATTTAATTAAAGCTGAAATCCATGGAGGTAAAAAAAACCCATCACTTAAATGCAGCAGGACACAGAGAGGAACTCTCCTCAGATCAAAATGTGGCAAATATGACTGTGATACCACATCTGCCCACCATTTCTAATTAATGACCTTCACAATGTCAGCTGACAGAGTTCTTACCACTTTCTCCTTGTAAACAATGTATTTCAGCCACTTGAAATCCTGCCATTTGAATCCTGCCAGAACAAACAGGGAATCCTTCTCATACTGCTCCATTTTCTGGATTGCACCTTCAGGATATGTGATCCGGAGAGTTGTCTTGCCACCCACATCTTTTTCAAAGCCCTTCACTGGTGCAGAGTTCAGCCTGCAGGGCAACCAGAGAAGACACTGTCATGGATTCCCACTTACACTCACGCATGCTGATGATAGAGCAATGACTGCTGGGCAAAAGCTCCCTGTACACAGCTGTCAGAGCAGCGAACATTAACTCTTGCAGCTCTTCATCACAAACATTTGTGAAGCTTTATACCAAGTCACAATGGTTTAATTAGAAGCTATTTAAATTATTACATTGAATGCAATGCAAACCATTTCTGCATATCCACTCTTGTGATTTAAATAAGGTTGGAAGCTTTAGAAAAGGAAATGGAAAAACATTGTCCTTGCAACTTAGAGTTACAAACTAAGCATTAATATTTTATCATTGCTTTGGTGCATGGGGTTATTCCTCTCTAGGTACAGGACCCTACACTTGTCTTTATTGAAATTCATTAAGTTCTTCTCTGCCTGTCCAGGTCTCACTGAATGGCAGCACAGCCTTCTGGTGTACCAGCCATTCCTCCCGGTTTTGTACCATCAGCAAACCTGTTGAGAGTACACTCTGTCCTCTCATCCAGGTTATTGATGAATAAGTTGAACAAGTCTGGACCCAGTAATAACCACTGGGGACCACCTCTAGACTTCAACTTCTAGACTCTATGCTTACCTATGAGGATGTTATGGGAGACAAGTGTCAAAAGCCTTGCTGAAGTCATGGTAGACAACATCCACTGCTCTCCCCTCATCTATCCAGCCAGACTTTCCATCACAGAAGGCTATCAGACTGGTCAAGCATGATTTCCCCTTGGTGAATCCATGTTGACTACCTTCTTTTCCTCCACATGCTTACAGGTGTCAATCAGGATGAGCTGTTCCATCACCTTTCCAGGGATGGAGGTGAGGCTGGTCAAACATGGCAGTTTAAGCAAACTGAAACTGGTCTCATGCTCCAACCTCAGTCCAGAGCTTCTACTGCTCATCTTCCCTGCAGTGAGATTGTTTAGGAAACTAAACCAGCTAATAATTAAAAAAAAAAACCAAAAAACAACAAAGGAAGAATCTTCACCTGGTTTAATTCCCCAAACCAGTCCATCCGGAAGGCAGAAGCTGCCCTGCAATGCCAATGCAAAGGAAGGGGTTGTGCTGCATAGCTGGGAAAGGCTCAGAACCACTGCAGTGCCCCCTTGCAGAGGGCTTTCTGCTATGGAAGTACATCACAGTCTGAAAACACCCAAGCACACACAGCTTTGCTCTTGGGCACAGTGATTTCTAAGGGAGCGCTATGTATTTAGCTGTGCTTCTGTAAAACACTCCTCAGGGACAAAGTTTTTTCCCCTTCAAAAAAACAAACTGTTCTGGCATTAACAGCAATGATGACTTTCATAACATTGAAGTTATTCAGAACTTCTATTCAAAACTAGAAACCCAAAGCTGAGGAAACTTCATGTAACTTGGAATACAAATCTTGCTGACATCGAACAGCAGCCCCTGATGGAACAGCATTGCCTGCTTGAATTATTGCAGCCTTCTTGACTTGGGGTAGTTCAATATACTGGAAAGTGCTTATGGACTGCAAATTTTGCCGTGTAGGAATGTTAATGAGAATCTGAATTTCTCTTTTTCAGCCTGGGTAAGCAGTTTAGGTGGGAAACCTTTCAGTAGAAGGAAATCACTGTACCCAATCTGAAATTCTATTCAGAATTAAGGAGAATAAATTCCTTTGTATTTTTTAGTAAAAATGCTTGTTTCATTGTTAGGAATAAAACATTAAAGGGAAAACAACTTCAAACTTGGCACCACCACAATTTATACAAGAGATGAAGCCTTTTTTTTGTGGTTTATAAACCATTGCTTTGTGCCTTGACTTTGAGGTATCTAGACCTGACTGCCTGCAAAAACAGTGCTCCCAGCCAGCCTGATCCTTCGCTTTTTCCTCTGCTGCTGACAGTGCATTCACACATCACTCACTTCTGTTATGGGCATTATTTAAACTTCAAGGCTTTGCATCACCCTGGGGTAGATGACCCTACATAATGGCATGCGGCTCTAATGGTAACAGAGATATATACGATGAAGTAATACGATGTAGAGAAAACTAGTTAGACATATTTTTCATCTGTCATCTTGAAGTTGAGGAGAAGGTTAGTGTCTGCAGTCATTTTAAATGCCAACGTATAGCTCTCTGGCAGGGTTCTCCCCACCCCTACTTGCTGGGTTTGCCGTTTTCATGCTTACCTTGTTAAAGCTCCTCAAACTTGGGACCCCCTTAGTATCTAGACAGGAAGCAAAACAAATCATTTCCCCAAGTAAAATGAACTCAGGTCTCCAGCAAAGGGCCAGAGTGTAAGTTGCTGATGGAGTCCTAGTGATGGAGCCCTGCTAACGAGCCAGCACCGTCAGCCCCATGGGCAGTGCCCCAGGGGCAGCGCAGGCAATGGAGCAGGAAATGTTCTGGCAGCCACAACCTGTGCTCACAAAGGTGCACACTACACAGCTTGAACCCCTCCTCAGGCAGGACTTGCTGGTGGTTAGAAACACAGCTAAATCTTAGAAAACCTCAGCTAGGATGCCAGGCCTCCTCATACTGCCCACAGAAAGGCAGTTTTTTACATAAGGAATTTCAGATTGGTTTTCTGTTTGTGCCTGCTGACAACATAGGGAGCTTAGAGACACTAACTCCTAACCTTTGCACCACAAAGACCCTCTCAGATATCACTGAAATACCATCATCAGGTCAATTCCTATCTCATTTTAACCAGATATTTTCTGACATACACTTGTTATTCGCCTGTCTACAATCTATTTCAAGGAGGCATTTTAGAACACCGATGACTGACTGCTGCAAGAAGCTCCTGCCAGGTAATCAGTGTGACAGCTGGGAATAATGTCTGCACTGAAATCTGATAATATCCAGTTAAAGAAAAACAGTAACTAACTCACTCCAAACTGGTTTACAACTGTCAAAGCTGATCGGTATCTCTTCACCACAAGATCAAAATTTCTTGCTGCAATTAGCAATCCTCACATGGTAATACATGAGGCATAAAAAAACCCCACATGCTGCCCAACCACTCCTGTGGCTGCAAATGTACCACAGTTTCCCCCTCAAAATTCACCTCCTAGGTCCCAAAATCTGATCCTTGGAAAGCATTTTGCAACCCATGAAATAAGATGCTGTAACCCAAGGGAATTCTCCAGCTTCCACAGGAGTTAGGAAGCAGTTGGATACATTTAAGAAGTCTATTCTCACCTCCTCTGCAATCCCACGTCCAAGCACCTGGCTTCATTTAACCTTTACAGTTGACTTTTCTCTCTTTTATCCATCCCACGAACAGCACAGGTGCTTAGCTGCCCTCTTATCCTCTCAGCTTGCAAACTGATTTAGATTTACTGATGTGGGGAGAAAAGGTTGAACTTTTCATTTGGAAATTAAATAGTGGCCTTTCTGACGTAAATCTTAGTGGGTGGCTTAGTCCAGATGGATTGAAATTGTTCTCTTGCTACTTTTTGAACAGTCTGAGCCCAAGAAAAAACTGTAACTGAATTTTAGTTCAGCTCAAATAACTGGAAGTCACCAGACTATGACGGGTAGTAAGAGCTCTTTGCCATCAACTAATAGTGGGATGAACTAGGAGAAGGGCTATGAAAGCTTCATCCTCTTCTGAACAGTCATTCTTGTGTCTGAAGCTCTGCTGGGAAGCACGGGACTGTTCACAGGAACAAAGGACTGAAAGGGATCTTCTTAGTCTTTTTGTCTGGAGTTAGAGGGTATTTATTACTATGTGTATGTTCTATTCTTTCCTCATGTGCCCATTACTAGCACATGGGAGAGAAAGGAGACCATGCTAAATGATATCTTCACTGTGCCTTAAATTCTTTTACTAATCCCTTTCTTTCTTCCACCTTAGTGAAGAATTTGCTATTTGCCACCATGTCTCATGGTTGACTAAAGTTCAGAGAGATGATATCAGCTACACTCCCTTTAATACAAAATCAGTTATCTAAAAACAACCTAGACTATGTTAAACCAGCTTTTATAAACTTACACTGCAGTTTATCCCACTTTTCATATTTACCATCATAGTATTTTGTTACTCATGACTCAGAACCTGCTATAGAGCCCTGTGTTTTTTTCCAAGTTAGACTAATGGGTTTGTAGCTCCCTAGAGCATGTCCCCCCTCCCTCCTACACACACTCTCACTCTCCATTAGTATAGCTATTATGTTTGTTAATCTCCAGTCACCCAGAACACCTCCCTGACTTGACAGATTTATTACTAAGAGTTATGACTAGACCTGTGATTTCACATATCGGCACATTTTTCAGTCATTCTGAGATGGCAATAATACAGGTCTTCAGCAAAAACACGAAGTCCTAACTTTCACTGTGGTTCTTTCCATTCCTATGCCACTCTGCTTCTGCTCCCTTACTCAACATCATCATCCCATCATCCTCAGTGAAACGGGCAAAGTATCCACAGTTTCTAGGGCACACCTATAGGTGTTTAATCATTACTGGGTCCTCACTCATGAAAGGTTATTGCTTCCTAAGACTCTATACTGCAGCATTTATTTTTTCCCATCCTAACTGCAACGTGTAGTTCTCAGGGACCACTACACATGTATAATGCTTCCCTAAGGTACCTAGGGGATACATCTGGGAGCAGATCTAACAGTACATTTTACAGCTTCATCACCTAAGGGCATCACAAAAGCAGTAGCTTTTAGAAAGAAGGTATGAAGAGCAGATTCAAGTGGGATCATAGGAGAGACCACATTCCTAAACACCTGTGGAAAATGGAATGCTTGAGGAGTGCCTTTACCCTTTGATGTGATCACCATTTATAACAAACATATGCTCTTGGGGTTTTTTTCCCCTCCATATTAGTTAATGTTTCCATACAAATGGATATTATCACTAGATTAGGTTGCCTGCATAGCATGGGAACTGATACTGAAGCTATATGACAAAAAACTGTGATGCCAAAGACTCACCTGACAACAACATCATAGTCATCGATTTTTAACCCCAATGACTTATTCGCAAGTACTCCACCATTTCCCACAATAATACATCGCCGGCAGCTGAGACTGTGGAAGAAACAGAAAGAAGAGGTGATTTTTGTAACATAACTTCAAATATACCGAGACGTATGTATTTAGTTTGCACCTATCTAAGAACTACAGGAAACCTTTTGCAACATTAAGAATTAAGGGGAGGACAGAGATACACTCCATCCCCAGCTCACCCCATCATGCCCAGACATTACATGTGATAAACTGCTTTCAACACCTCACCCCATGTGTGGCCTAATGAGATGAGCTGTCAGGACAAGCAGCTCCTCTCCCCCCACACCCCTGTTATGATGGTCTTGAATCAAACCCATCTGTTTACTTAAACCTTCTCATTATTCACTTAGCACTGAAATAACAATAAACCAAAAGCTTAGTGAAGAAGTCCTCTTTCCAAGCAATTTTCTGAGTGCAGGCAGATCTTACCAGGTTATCTGGGGTGTGCTCACCTTGCTGAGTGCAAAATTGCTGCAGTAATCATGAGACTTCAAGAGTCAGAAAAACACTGAATGGATAGGAAAAGTACACTCCACCCCTCCTCCTAACCAGCAGGAAACATATATGGAGACACAATGGGTGAGGGAGGGGAAGGAAAATAACCTTAATTAATAAAGAAACAGGAAAGAGAAGGAAGAGAACAGTTTCTTGTGGAACCACAAGTCATGAGAACTCTCTGCAGCAGATGTTAAAAAGTGATTTTGTTTTGAAGACAGAGAGAGGACTTCTTTCCAGCCATCTAATCCCAAACGCAGCTGGCTCTTCTGGCAATGTGCCTCCACCTCTGGTAGTTCACTGAAGGAAGACGTGTCTGCAGAGCCTTTTTCGGAAAGGGTCCAAGGCAATCAGTTGTTTGGAGCAGATCTCTGGGCTAGAAGGCCTTCCTAGTCCCAGGCATAGTCAACTGATCTCTCCTAGGCTGTCATTGCTGTGATCAGTCTAAAAGGCCAGTGTGAAGAAAGCTCTACTTATGTGGTGTCTGTCTCTGCAGAGTGGGGCTGGAGCACGCTTAAAGACTCTGCTAAACCACTGAGGGTTGTCCTGCTGACAGAGCCATTAGCTGCAGATATGTGCAGAATTAAGAGCACCAAGAAACGCTCAGGAACAGCTTCCCTAGCCCAGATTAAGTTTCACTGCAGTTCCCAACCTTTCCAAAAGAAAAAAACTCCTCAAGAAGACGGACATGCTAACCCAGTGTTCATGTCCCTAGGGGCCAAAGAAGGGTGGATGTTTGCGATAATAAAATCACAATAGAGAAAGAACTTTATAGACAATGGCACAATAAAAACAAAACAAAACACTGTTCTGGCAACAAGGAGAAAGCAGAGACACGATCTGGATCAAGTGGAATATTGTGTTAAGAAGGGAAAAGTCATCCCCAAGTGCACCTAACTGAGTGACAAAGATGTAAACATTTTTGTCAAAACCCTACTGTAATTTTACATTTCCTCCTTCGAGGAAAAAGTGCTGTATGGAGGGGAAAAAATACATAGTTCAGTTCTGGCCAAGTGAAATTTCATCTGCAAATACACTCTTCTGATGATTACGATAAAGTTTGACCTCCTAAACAACAAACCTCTCCTTTGGGTGAAATACTGTAATTTCTCTACTCAGTTGTCTCTAAGCCATAACTTTTTTAATGCTACATGTTGAAGAATACCACCATGCTAAAATCCAAAGGCTATAGACACTCCCTTCTACCCCTTTCCACTTACTGTTAGGATGCTAGCTCTAACCAACTTTCAATACAGATGTGTTTGTTTCAGCCTCAAACCACTTAATCGCATTCTTCCCTTTTCTGCTAAATTAAAGCACCATCTACTGTTAGTAGTCCCTTCCACATCTGCATGTGATCCACCGACAAACCAGTGTGTAAACATCTGCCTCTAGGTGGATAATCAGTCACAGGGCAGACTGGTGATCATGAGCCGCTACACACAAGATAGAAGAACCAGTTCCACCAGCCAAAGCTGTTCCAGCAGCCTGTTCCCACATGTACTGATCAAAGCCCATTCATAATTTTCTCTTGACCACACAAACCAGAGAGAGCTCATCACATCTTTTAGGGTATGGCAGCTCTCCTAGATCTTGACTCACATTTGCAGCACCTCTCTGAACCGTCTTCATCTTCTCCCCAGATCTCCAAAGCACTGACTCTGGAAGACCAGCATGAGGAGCTAATGCTGCTCAAAGCAGGGTCCCTTTTACACAGAGATTTTATGTACATCATTCCAGTGCTCTTTTTATAGTCACTGGTTTGCAGAATATAATCCTCACCTTGTAAGCATGATCTGCACTGTCACTTCTGAGATGCCTGACTTCTGATTTGGCTCCAGTAAAGGACTGTTCAGAGAAGGGCCCTATGAAAAGGTCTAGACTGACCTGGCTCTCCTATTCCTTACTTCCCCAGTATCTGGCTCTGGCAAATTTTCCCACTGTGATTTTACATTTCCTCCGGATTGGTTTTAACCACTGTGAACACCTGCCAGCAGGATTACACTGGAAGTGTCACTAAGGGATTAATTTTCAACCCTGACAGTAACTTTTTAAAGCTGTATGACATATCCCACTCTTAAAAAGGTTATGTCTACAGCAAAGACATAACCTACACATAGGTGTTGTGTATAATCAGAATATAATGGACTGAGAAAACTAATTAATACCAATCTTTAGAAGGTTACCCTTACCAATCAAGCTTTTAGTTCATCCAAAAGATACATCCTTTACATGACAAAATTTCATTTCCACAACACCCAAGATAACTCGCATCAGTTATACTGCCATCCTGGCTACGTCCCAGATCTAACTTTCCAGGATTTTTCCTGCAAAACAGGGCTAATCAACTTACAGCCACCTCTTTGTCATCTCCCATGGTTCTCCAGGAATGGCACAACATTTGGTGTTATACCAAATATTCCAAGAAGAGTTAAAAAGCAAACAGTAATAACAAAAATAATTATTTAACTTCTTAAATACTCCTCAGTGCTTATTAATTTAAAAAGACATGGAAAAAGCATCTTCACAGTTACTAACAAAAATGCACAAAGTATTTAATTGTTGCTGTAAAACAGGACACCTTTCTATATTTACCTCCCCAAAATGATACTTAACTGAATAGTTCTGCCTTTACTCAGCATAACTGGTAGGTTATTCACCTCTGCCCAGCTTCATGTCTGAATCGCTCATAAAATCATAGAATAGTTTGGGCTGAAAAAGATCTTAAAGCTCATTCAGTCCAAATTCCCTGCCATGGGCAGGGTCACCTTCCACTAGACCAGGTTGCTCAAAGCCCCATCCAACCTGGCCTTGAACACTGCCAGGGATGGAGCAGCCACAGCTTTTCTAGGAAACCTGTTCCAGTGTCTCAGTCTCATACCCTCATAGTGTTGAAGCATATAAACGTGTCCTCCTTTTTAAGTCTGCAGACAAGATTTTTCACTAGTATCTTTTTGACACTGAGGTCTAATCTTAAATATTCTAGCAGCTTTTTCTTAATTTTCCTTCAGAAGTACTCTGCCCACTCTCATCACAAAGCTGGCAGTTTCTGTTGCACACTCAGAAGGCAGTACTCAGGCACAGATCGCTTTCTTCAAATGCGTGTGACGAAGATACGGTGAGACTTGGACTTTGCCTGGATTCTGCTCATCAGGCATGTGCATCATGTCTGGGCAGCCAGGACTGTTTTGATCAAGACAGGCAGAAAGGTGAGCTTGGTCTCACCAGCTTTGGCAACCGCACTGTAAGAAAGGGAGGAGACTGCAGGGCCACTCTGGTGGCACTGTGAAAGGGAAGCATTCGGTAGGGACATCAGGCACCTGACCTCACATCCCAGCCAGAAGTTTGGAGGCTTTGCACCAGCGTAGCTGTGCTCCTTCACAGTCAGCACTGACTGATGGTGCCCAAGCATGGGAAACTTGCTACTGTCACTGCTGGCTCCAGGCAAGTTTTTGGCTGAAGAAACATGACGTGCAAGCAGCATCAGTTACAGCTCAATTGTTTCACCACAAAGAAGTGTGCAAACACCTTTTTGTTTCTTTATGTAGTATGTCAAAGATGTATTTCTTTTTCAGAAGAATTCAATGACTGAACACACTCGACACAGCCCAGGTTCCAGTTTGCTACCAGGGTGGTATGAAGGAGGGTAACGGACTTTCCTCACCAGGCAGACTTTCCCTAAAGCCCTAAGCTGAAAGCTGTAACCAGATGCACAGCCTTTTGACACAGGTGCTCAGAGGCTGTGTTCATCTACACCAAAACCAGGATTCACAAAGATCTTCTTGAACAATATAGCACTGTAAACACATCTACGCATTACAGCAATTGCTACTTCCTCTTTCCCTCTTATCAAAGCACTTCAGGGATTTCTCAGGGGAGAAAAACCACAAAGCCTTCCATTACACAACTTTGGAACTAAAGACTTTGAGGAAAGATAGAATAATTAAAACATACATCTTTGGGTAATTGGTGCTTAGGGAGGCTTAGCATATTCTGGTTTGATCTGGCTGCTGTTACTTTAACTCTCTACAACCTGAGCCAGAGGGACACTCACACCTCTCCTGCTCTATCAAATTCCTTCTTCATCTGTTAGTTTACGTATTGCATTAGTAAAGACTGTGTTACTTATAAGCTCAAAGTCTCAGCTTTCCATCACTGCCAAGAGGCAATACAAAACGGTCAATCAGGTTTTTATATTTCTTTGTATTCATAGGAAATTTACAGATTATCACTGCAGGCATTTAACACAAAAATCCACTTAAGTCCAGCCAGCAGAGCCACTGTGGAACTAGAAACCAAGCCCTGGTCAATTTGCACAATGAGAAGCAGGCCACTCGAGGAACCACCAAAGCAAGCAATGAAAATGTCAGTGATATATAAATGGGCTTGGAAAAGTCAACAGAGGGCAAGAAAACTCTTGACATGTCAAAGAAGAGGCAAACCAACATCGGCGTCAGGGAGAAAGACATGCCAGCTCTGAAGGAAGAGAACACTGATTCCTGAGCAAGGCCCTTCGATCTCCAATCTTTTGCAGAAAAGCCCAGAGCTAAGTTGCAACTACCCTCACAATCACAACTGCAGCTTTACCTGCCTCCTGCCTTGGAGGAGGAGCGGGTTACTATAAACAATTCAACACAAAGGGGCCACAGTAAGGAGTCATGAAGAAAACTAAGAAAGCATGACATCACTTATACTACGTTACAGGCGTGAGGGCATTTGTTCACATGCCCTCCAGCTGCTCCTAGTTATTAACACAACTCTACTCACAATGGAGGGATTAGTTGGAGTGAGTTGGCAAAGCTGTTTTGGGATGATGAAATGTATACACGTACCCGGAAGGATTGCGTTTACCTCATTTCAGCACCATGTCGGTACATTGTGTTAGGGAAGGTGCATCAAGATGCCCTTCTAATACAGGGATAATCAAACAAAGTTCATTTCCAGGGCTTATGGGAAGCAAGTGAAGGTAACATCTCAAGGAACAGCTTTGTGAAGGAGAACAGAAATGGAGAAGGTTGGGTGGGGACAAGACCAAAGGGTTGGTGTAGATCATCCACCACACAACTCTAATCCCCTTTTTCCTTCCTGTCCTCTCAAGCACTGCTCTGACCTCACCTCTCCTGCCTCTCCCACCCTTCCCCAGGGAAAGCTGAATTCAGTGTACAGTTACGTGAACACTTGTTTCAGTGGGCTCAGCAGTACTCACCCTCCCCACCCATCCCCATCCCTCTGCCTCTTGAGCTGCGGTCACAGAGCTGTGCCAGTGCAACTCTTCAGTGGGAGGAGAGCTCTGTCAATGAGGTCACTGGAATGACCTGGATTAAGAAAAAAACTTTTGAACCAGAATTGTTTCAGTGACCCACTTTAAAGCTCTTCTTTGAACAATAGCAGCAGCACAAGGAGATGGTAGCGAGCTACAGTCTGAGAGTAGCAGCAAATACAGCTTCTTAGACTGGCTTTGCCCCAGAGAAAATATTGGTGTAACTCCATCCTGAAGAGAAGGTGAAGCTTCTTCCCTACTGCTAGAATTAGCCCATTAGACTTCTGAGAGCCTGCAAGCAGAAGGGTTCACAAGTTCCCCTAAGTCTGACCCCTTGTATCTCACAGACTTTAGCTGCATCTCTTACGTAACTCAACAGTAAGACATTTTTTCAGCCCTTAGTCACAGAATGGTTTAGGTTGGAAGGGACTTGTAAAGGTCCCTTAAGTCAGGCCCTCTCCATTTGCCCCAGGGTGGTGAGCAAAGGGGAGAGGTCTGGACTTTCTCCTTGATTAGTGAGCAGTAAGGGAGTGAGCCAAACCTTAAGGCCCTGCTCCCAGCACACTGATGCTGCCACGGAGAGGAACTGCTGGGCTCTGCTTTGAGTTTGAGAGGAGAAAGCAGCTAACTCTCCCTCATTAGTCTGCTTTATCAGCTCTTCCGGAATCCAAAATGGCAGATAACCATTGCTGCCAGCACTGTAACTCATTGACGATCAAGGCTGGGAGAATACCCAAGTCGTTTTCAGCTATGCCCTACTCACTAAGCAGGTTTCCAAGAGCAGCTCTGTTGTAACCTTAACACCTCCTGCAGTACCCAAGCTCCCTTGTAATAACCCCACTCTTGCAACTTCATCCACCTACTGCTTTATGATCTCACTTTGTGGCTTGCTATCCCAAGTCTTTCTAGTCCCTTTCTCCCACATGAGCTTAAATTTTTACCTTTCCTAAGACCTGCTCACTTGGAAGGGCTCTGGGTAGTACCTGACTGTGAGACACGTGTACTACACAACCAACATCCACTGCTTTGCATTTATCACAAAAATTCCCAAGAAAACAGTACTTCTGCAAGATATTTGTGCGTTTACACACCATCAAACCTTGTTACTGCAACGCTATAGAAACACATTTCAAGTCTGTTGCTTAGGTCTTTTTCCTATTTGATATCTAGGGGACTTTGTATATGTCTCATGAAAGCTTGAGTGCTCGTACCTCTGCACCAAAACCATTATAAAGAATGTAAAACCAAAGTGAATAGCTCATGCGAGAGTGGCTGTGTTTCACAACCTCCTGAGAAATTACTTTTAAAACCACCCAAACATTCCACTCATGAAAGAACAGGTGAGCTGTATGGGTCACAATTACATTAACATTCTCTGCAACAATCTTCTACCTGCCCTCTGTCATTAAACTAATTTCCCATGAGCAACCTTCTGAATGAGTCTATATGTGGATTTTTCAACAGATTAAAATCTTAACTCTCCAACCAGAGCCACAATAAACCCCAGATGGGTGAGACTCAGTTGCGCGCAAAATCTCTGAGAAGGTAATTTGTAAAATGATTTTGCCTCCTGGACATCATTTCTCGAATTAATGCAAACTCTGAAGGCTAACCCTATCTGGCATTGCTGTGAGGCAAGGCAAACTTCAAAGCAACCTAAATTAGCACACAGACTGCAAAACACTATTAATAAACTTTCACATAGAGAGTAACTCCCAACTCTAACTACAGCAGGCAAGCTCTACAATCAACATGAGAGATGCAGAGAGCTATAGTATATGGAAAGGCTGGAAAAGCTTATTAATTTTGTCACAGAAAAATGGGCAGAGGGGGAGCTGGGGCAAAAAATAAACCCGGTGTGTTTAGAAAGCAGGAACTGTGTTGTTAACCCGGGTTCAGAGAAGTACAACTGTTTGGAAAGAAATAGTGGCAGGACTTTGGAAAGAGATCATGATCCAGTAGAAAACTTTGACAGCGTCTGAAAGAAACTACCTCTAATCCAGGAAGTGGCTCTAAACCAAAACTGCAAGGCAAAGGGAAGGGATGACAGAAAAGCAAGGATAGGAAAGACTATCATTGGGAAGCTGATTGTGAACCTGCCAGTGAGCTTCAGAAATAATGTCTACAATAGGACTGAAGAATCAAAGGAGTCTCTTCTAAAGACGTCAATTCAAATACCACACAACTCAGAAGACTGCTGTTGCATCCTGGCATAGGCTTGGTCAACGTAATCACACATTCCTGCTTTAAGCGCAAGGTATTAGTGAAGAACATTGTTAAAACCAGCCAGTCCCTTCTTTCCCTCTAAGAGTTTCTTGTAATCCTCTTGCTTTGTCAGAAAGGCTGACAGAGAATGCTGTGTTTATTGAAACCTGTTATTTACTTATTTGAAAAAGGGTCAAGAGGATGTATTGTAACACCATATGAAACAAAAGATTTAGAAATAATCAAAAGGTACATGCTTTTTTCTACTCATGTTTGGCTTAACAGAGGTCTCTAGAGTTTACAGATTTACTGTAAAGAAGACTCAGTTTCCAGCTCCTGATGTACCTCCAAAGCACCGCCAAATTTATTGGCAATAATTTCTGGCAAAAATATCTAGTAAAAATTATTTAGGACATGTGGAAAATAATCACTTTTCCTCCTACATTAGAAGGTCTCATCTTACCTGTCAAGAGCTGGAGTTAGACGGTAATCTTTGGTTGCTGACAGGATGGCTTTGATCAGATTATCTGGGGAGAAAGGAAGGAGACATTAGGAACAAGTTCTTGCTTTTAATGGAAATGAAAACCAAAGTGATGTAAAGCATCTGAAGCTGTAACTTGGAGGAACTGAAATAAAGTCCACATTAGGAATGTACACTTCAACTTGCATATTCCCATTTTCTCTGACTTTCATATGCTGGCTGCAACTGCTCAAACGTGTTATGTGCCAAATTCTGATGCAGCGAGCAAATACCTTGCACAAAAAGTATGACAGGAAACAAACATAGTACAGTTTAAGGCAGTGGTTTAATATGCACTTCCATGAGACTGCATTTTCACAAACAATTCAGACATGAAAAAAACAGTATCACTGTCAATGGTTGCTTTCAGACAAGCTTTTATGCCATTGGGCAGTGAACTGGATGCAGGAACAGAACCAGGTTAAAGCTGATGCTTTTTATCTTCCTGGGTTACTTTTAGTTTAGGTTCAGTTCCTCAGTCTGCCTTTCTTCATGGCAGGATCCAATTAAATCATCACAACTGCTTAAAGAAATGCCCATTGAACTACAGCTACTCTGATACCCCATGAACACTGCAGCAGCCAGATGGTGTAAGTTATGCAAGCGCAGACACACACACAAATTAAATATATTAAATTGTAGAAGCACAATGATTAGACATAAATAATTCTATCGACTGGAAATTTTTGAGTCTGCTTCCTTTTAGATTTTGTCCTTTGTCCCTGATTTTTCCACCTCCCTATCCCATAAAGATCCAAACTCCTTTACGACCAGGGCCAAGAAGCAGCAATGCTTTGCCTAGCCTGGATTTACAAATGCACCAGTAAATTCAGAATGTACTTGGTCTGACAAGAAGTCCATCTGTCTCCAGATCCTGACTCTAACTGTGGCCTTAAGCAGATGACTAAGAGAAGCACAAGAATAATGCAAATAGACATAATATTTCCCTGAAATTGTCTTTTACTACTAAATTATTTTCACATCAGGGATTTAATGTGTCAGCTATAGCTTCTATATATCTGGCAACCCTTAGGCATTCTCTTTTTTGAGCCTGGAACCCTCCTGGATCCACACGGACTTTCAATCACTTCCCATTCCTGATTTTGAATACGGCTTTTCTGAGCTTCAGTTATGACACAGGAACATTGAGAAGACAGACATCAAGTGATTGCTTACAGTGAACTTAAATAGTCTTCCTGATAGACGCTACTTACTGTAATGAGCACAGTTTGGAGAGTCCCTTTCAAATAAAGAGTTCTGTTCTTGTTTATTATGTATGGCCCTCTGCAAAAAGTACAGGACAAGGATATCGATGAACACATGAGCTCAAGGCAGTCCGTGTGCCAAACAGCTTTGAACTAGATGGTTACTTTGAGATTTGGGGAAGTTTTTGACATGGCATTACTGGCAGCCCCTGCCAAATATTACAAGCTGGGAAATGTGATTACTTTCAGAAGATCATATTTTGGACTAAAGTAAGGAAAGAGGCAATTTGTAAGGCAAAAGCAACTTACTTGGCTAACAAAATAGTGGTTTTGTTTAATTTTCCTTCATCTGAAGAATTTCTTTTGATGCATTGGCAGCAGGTTCCCTCTCCAGCAGGAATGCTATTTCCCTAAGTCTGCTGCAACAGTAGTAGGTTGTTGTGACCTCTAATGGCACTATGCCACAGTCCTCTCCTTGGCCTATCTCATACCTTGACTTTTGCTGGACAGTCTACATTACTGTGGTTGTCTTCCCACACTCTTAGGAAAGAGATCTAAGGACTGCATGTCAAGGGCTGCAACCTCCCATCTCCCAAGCTTTTCTTATGCCAGGTTTGCTCTACCACCCACAAGTTAACACCCTGGAGGTCATCCATTATACTATATTAAAAAGTACATTAAAGGAATACAGTTGTGTAATGCACTCAAATAATTCTGGTTTTCTTGCCACGTATTTAGTAATGCCTTCACAGTGAATGCACCAGTGAATGCTTCAGAAATGAAATACGACTGGATATGACAGCATTTGAGATGAGGATGCTTCCCATTCCCATCATCCAGAGGGAAAACACAAACAAAACAGGACATTCAGTACAGAGTATGAATGGCCAAATGGGAGGTATCTCTTCAGCAGCCCCCACAGTCCAATGACACATGGCATCCAAGAGGTTTGAAAGTTGCATAAATCAGTGTTATCATTCAAAACTGCGAAAGAAGCTCAATAAAAGACAAAGTACCGCACTGCCAAGTGTTGACTGACAGCAGGAATTAAGGTGTCACAGATGCTGTCTGTGCTACTTTGTCTAGTCTAGCACCCTCATTGGAAGTCAGAAGCAGGAGCCACAAGCACTAACAGGAAAAGCTAATGGCCTGGGCAGAGGAGAGGCACTAGGTCCTTTTTGACTGAGCTGGAACTATACCAGAAAATGGACACTATGCTGCTGCTGAGGTGAGCACTTGCATTTGGCACCTAGCTCACTGGCACCAGTGATGGAAAGACAAGACTTCCTCCAGAAGGAGCTTCTGTACCTTCTTGGGGCAAGATCTGAGGGGTCAGCAGATGCTGCTGTGGCTGATCTGCAATCTTTCACAAGATGATGAAAATACCTGCAATAGGGAACCACTGGCAGTATCTTTTACCACAGCTGGGTCAAGGTGGAGGGATTTCACTTGAAATCACTGCTGCAAAGACTATTATCACAGATAGCAACCTGCAGGACACAAAGTAGTGTTTATCTCTAGGTTATGACTAAAGATAGCCAGGCACCAGGAAAGCAGGTGGATTCTGTAAAGTAAATTGATGGAGCATGTTTTCTTCAGGTGAGAAATTGAAAGGGTAATAAGCATAGTCTGCCTCATATACCTATGTACTGAGTGATAATAACAAGTGCAAGTATGTTACATATGCTATAAAGAACAATTCTTTCCTGTTTCAAGTAACAGACTTTGTGTATAGCCACTGGCTGAATACTGATTTGTCAATGAGTGAAAGCAAGTTTTGGAAGGATAAAAGAAAAACCAAGCCTTCAAGAGCAGAGTCACTGCACCAGTATATGCACAATATCATTGCTATCCCCATGACCTAGGCAATAACTGACACATTTTACCTTCATGCAGTAGCTTCTGGGCAGATTCAAACTGTTTTACAGGACAGTGGCTACTAAACTAATTTTGATGTTGTACACATTGATGCTAAACTTCTAAACAACTCACATTAAACCATTACCTGAGTTAGTAGCACATCTGCACATCAGCAGCAGACCTGGTATGCTGCACATTGGCCACAGAACCCCTCCAGTGGGGTAGGACAGCAGTGGGAACAACTGGCACCAGGGCAGCAAGTTTCTCTGGGGTAGGCATATTCTTAAGCTTGTGACTGGGACCTACGTGCACTGAACACAGCAAAGAACAAAACAGAGCAACCCAAGATCAGTGTTTTAGGGGAGTACACTTTGTTCCTGATAACTCCCAGCTTCTCTCCATTCATCTATAGATTTTATTTTGGGTTTTTTTGTTCTATTATTTTAAGGCACCAGCTGCATACAGCCCTGCCTTTAACATGAACTCACACGCAAAAGAAGGATTGTTTTATTAGGGCAACAACTATGCAAACAATTTGTTTTGATTTTTTTTTTTTTTCTTCTTTCAGATGGTTTATCCATGTTGTGAAGAAACCACAGCATGGTACAAACACAATGCTAGCCCAGGCACAACTCCTTCCTTGCTCGGCAAATGGGAAAAACACATAGTGGTGGGTGTGCTCTGCCTTGTATACATGTGCAAAGAGGGGCAAGGAGGGACCTGAGAGTACATGTTCCAAGTACTACAAAGGAAAAAAATCCTTCCTGTTACAAGCAGCAGGTATGCATGCACTCGCCTCCTGCTTCCAGGGCCAGGCATACAGCCAGTTCAGGTGTAACAGGATTCATTAGCTCAGACAAATCCCCATTCAAACAGGTCTTTTAATTCTTTGAGGGCCATTTCCAGGCTAGAAAAGTTTCAGCTGCTTTGGTTGAGCACAGAACCCCAGCAAATCAGCCCAGCAGACATGTCTCAGCACTATATGCCCGGAAACATGAATCATGGAGAGCACGGTGCAGAGACCTCCAGGTCTCCACGGCAGGTCAGCTCAAACCAAGGAGAACTTTTTACCTGCTATTCATTTCACTGCTGGCACAGAAGCAGCTCCCACAGATCCATCAGCTTTACATCATATTTACCCTGGACAAGGAGAGCTGGCAGCACTGTACCATGGCTATCTTGCATCCTCCAAGAGATCCTTCAGATATACTGAACAGGCAGGAACAGAACAGCTTGGACAAAACCACGCACTTCTTCCCTGTCACTCTCCTCCCCTAACAGTATGGATAAAAAGTGAATTCATCTTTGAAAAGCATTTAATCTTTGGCCTCTTCCCAGCTGCCAAACAGGCAGCCCAGCAGGTACAAATTAGTTGCATGTTTTATGAAATACAAACTTCCCACTGAAAACTGCATTCAAACACCAAACTTGTCTCGAGCCGATCATCCAACAGCCTTGCAGCAGCCACAGTTTTGGTAACCACTTGAACGCTGAGTAAGCCCAACAGCAGTGTTGCTTCCTCTGTACTGTTCCTCCTGTTCATCCTCACAAGATTCAAGGCAGATGTTATCAATACTGAATCCTTCCTCCAGTGTGTAGTCAAACACTGATATTTAAATAGCAAGGGCAGTGCTGCCATCCCTGGGGCTGCGGATGTTAGCTGTCCTGTAGTGGCACACATCTCAGCAGCAGCTCCCTGGCAGTCCATTATTTCCTCTTAGCTCAAATAGCTCAATTTCTCTCAAAGAGAGAAAATTGTAATGCAGTGGCTCTGCTCACCTGAAACCATCCACATGGTAGGCATAAGAGCATAAGAATATAGTATACATACATATGTTTTGTATAGGGAGGAATGTTTGTGCTGTTTAATTCTAGTTGAAATATTAGGCAAGTGAACTTATGCCAACAGTAAAAATATATGGCTTTTATACAGCTCCTTCAA